GAATTATTATAGGGCACCGGCGAATTAGGTGCCTCTTCTTCGGGAGATGGCTCCTAAGCGGTGGAGCCCAGGGAAGAAATAGATATTATCCGTTCCCTTATTAAGATTTGAGTGCCCGTCTCGTAATTACGAATATCATTCGATCTGATAAAGAAATATATAATTTTCGGACTTATTTCATTTATTTTATTATAATTAATAATTATACGCGCTTCGTTCGAAATCTGCGTCGTATTTCTCGAAACGTATATGAAGATAAGGCACTCCGTCGCCTCTTGCTTCGTGATAATTATTTCGGAGAAGTCGCCGCCTCAAGGAGAATCAATGATATGGAACTCAGCAGGACACGTATATAATATATCAAATACGATATTATTTATAAAATATATCTTTGGAGATCTTAGAAGCCTCGTAGATTTCGTCTATCCTAGATCTGATCTATAATAATTCAGAAATAATTTCCGCCTCTATCAATAATTCAGAAGAAGATAATATCGGGAATGATATTATGATCCTCAATTTCTCAGAAAATTTTTTTTATTGAAAATTTATCCCAATCAATCTTATCCTATTTTGAATCTGGCTTGTTGCCCTGCTGCGCATACGACGCCTTGCTAAAGATAAAGAATTTCTAATCTATAATGAATTTCTTATCTCTGATTCGGCTTCTTTCACGAAGACTTGAAAAAATCCGATATCAATATAGATTATTCTGATTTTGATCAATCAATGAAATTTTTATTTTTCAATTCCTTTCTAATAATAAATGCCATATCATCAATATCTTCCTATTCTTAGATAAGTATGGAGACCCAACCATCGTCCCATTCAATAGATATACCTTATAGCGAAAAATAGCGCGCGAAGCTTTTGATAGAGTCCGCACGCGTCTCGATAAATAGACCGATATGGCGCTTGCTTATGAAGACTCCAGAACGAAGAGCGATTTCAAATCATCATGATAATCGTATCTTCACTTACGAAAAATATAATAGAGATATCGATAGTAAAGAAATCGATATAAGCTCGATATATTGAATATAAATATCATTAATATCCTCTTCTTCCCCAATATTGAAATCTTTTATTTTATTTTCGAAATCTTCTATTCAATTGATTCCATGCCTCATATTAAAATCATCACGGAGTCGTATAAATGATTATACGCTTCTTTCTTATTATTATCATGAAAATATAAATTAATTCCCTTTTTCGGAAATTTTTTCTAATTTATCTTAAATTTTTCATTCAGTTCTTATATATCAATTCCGAAATTATTCGTAATCCTAGATTTATTATCCGATACGATCAAAAATATTTTAGAATAGAAGAAATCTTCTAGCTGCATATTTTTTAAAAATAATAAATCATAACGATTGACTTAATCAATCTATAGTAGATGTGAGTGCTAATAATCAAAATTTTAACTAATTTTTGCTTTATAGAATCTAATCTATCAATTCTTATACAGAAAAATATTATATAAATCAATAATCTAAATCTACGTATCTTTAATTTCTCATCTTTCAAATAATTCGCAAATTCATAGAATATAAAATATATTTATATAATTAGAATAATCAATGATAATCTAAAATCAAATTAAACCACCGCCCGAAGATGAAATAATCACGAATTCAAATACGATTCTATATACGATTCTAAATCAAATGCGATCGGATACGAATCAGAGATAAATCAAATACGACCGAATACGAAAAGAAGACGAAGATACAAACCAGACGCGAATCCAGAAACGAACCTGACACCAACCCGGACACGAACCCAAATACAAATCAAATACGCAACAGCAACAGCAACAGCTCAGAACTCCCTCTCAACATCCTCCTCTCAGATTCCCTCTCCCCATATCCTCGAAAGTTTCTTTCCTCTCAAATTCCATCTCCCCCTATCCTCTCAAATTTCTCTCCTCTCAAATATCCTCTCAAATCTCCCAAACATTGATTCTCAAATGTTTCTCAAATTATTCTGAAAAGTAATTAATCAATGGTTTCCAATATGTAGCTGGTAATGAAAGTCACAAAAGTAGATCCTAAACCCCCCTTATACCCCTACAGACCCCTTTAAAGGAACCCTAGTTACTAAGTCCCATGATCCTTTAAGTCGAGCTCTTTTTCTTCGCACACCGGGCCGGGAAGCCTCACTCTGGTCAGAGCTTCACATCTTGGAGAAGGCAGCAGGCAATGAAGGGAACTAGAGGTCTCAATAATTAAGTAGAATAGGGTCCCTTTAAGGGTTCCTCTAGAGGGCTCTATAAGAAGTACTATAAGGGTAGGGCTCTGTGCAATGAAGGGAACTACGGTTGATGATACAAGTCCTGCATAACCTTAAGGGCCCTAGACTATGGGAATTATGGTATATTCCTTATTTTGGGTCATGCAGGATTTATATCATCAACAGCAGGGGCCTCAATAATTAACTAGAATAGGGTCCCTTTAAGGGTTCCTTTAAAGGATTTTATAAGAGTTACTATAAGGGTAGGGCTCTTTTACAACTGCAGGTGCACTGAGACTTCCGTTTATGACGGGAATGCTTAGGGTCTAGGGTTTAGGAACCCTCAGAGCCCAGAAACCCTAGGACGTCCTCACCGTAGGAGGTCCCCAACCCCAAACTCCAGCCCAAGCTGAACCCTTAACCCTCAATGTTCCGTGTTCACTTTAGGGCAAAAATAAATAGGATAGGGGTTGAAGGTGTATTTTATCATAAATAAGAAGCCCAACCCTATTCTAATTATTCATGCCCTTCATATAGATCCCTTATAGACCTGTCTGAAAGGAACCCTCTAAGGAAACCTGCTGGGGAGGGATGCAATAGAGATGGCTTTTTGATTAGGGTTTTGGGGTATATCATAGGATACCTTATGGGGAGGGATGCTTTTACCGACGATTCTGCACTAGGCTCGAAGCATTGCATGCCATGCCTTCGGCAAGATGCTAAATGCAGCTGGCATTGGCAACAGCCATCCTGCTGGTGGGACTTGTCTGACCCCTGGTAATTACACCAATGACTGAGCTCGCGTAAAGACGGAATCCAAGGCACCTCTCTCTTGTCGCTGTGGTCTGAAAGTCTATAAGGTGCACCCTTGCAGAGGAGAGGTCGAGTTTGGAACGCGCTACTTGGAGGGGCAGGGGACAGAGCAAGTAGGGCTATAAGTAGGGTTATAATTGGGGTAAGTCCATTTAGGGTACTTATAACTCTACTTATAACCATACTTACATAAGTCCCCTGCCCCTCGAAGTATAAGGTGCCAAGATCCAAGGTTTTCGGATCGTGGGGCTATTGGAGTTTGGGGCTTAGCTCACTTAGGTCGGCGCAAGCTTTTGTGCCTTCAAGTCCCACCGTGCTGGACAGCTGCGGAATCCTAGGAGGAATGCATTACACCCAGAGGCCGGTCCCGGCGGGTGCAGAGCGGGTTCATAAGTAGGATAACTCTAGTTATAACCCGTATAAGGGGACTTAGAACCCCACTTATAACTACCCATGAACCCAAAACCCAGCTTCTAGGCTAAGAGGATTAGGATTGGGGGCTTCGGGTTAGAGCCGCGAGACTCCCCGGAACCTCTCTGGTTTTCTAGGATCCAACTGACCAGGAGACACCTCCACCGTCAGAAGATGGATCTGATCTACGCTGACGTTGCATGCACAGGCCTGGGTGGATGACTTTGGCACAGTGCTGAAGCATTAGATGCCGTGGTGGAGCTCAGTCTTTTACGCTGCCCCGACTAAAGCTGAGAGGGAGATAGCGAGGATGATGACGAATCCCATGCATGTCGAAGTCGGCTACTCAAGCTGCTGTGCCACCGCCGGTGCCAGCGTGTTGTCGACGATGACATAGAGCTAAGTACGAACTAGCAGCTCGCAGAGTGCCCCACTCCAAAGAGCATAATATGAAACTTCCACATCCTCCGATCCACGGCCAGTCATCGACACCAGGATGGCCAGGTAGCGAACTCTAAACCTCGATCTTTCCTCCACCCCAGCTTGCCCGCGTTCCCCGACCCCCTACCCCTACCCTACCCCCTACCCCGTACCTACCCCCGGAAACCCCGGAAACCCCGGAAACCCTAAACCCTCAACAAACCGCTGTGAGACTCTGGTCCCTGCCGCGCTCCGCGGAGGCTGCATGACTTTGGAGGGACTTGGCATTGCAATTTTAAGGCCTTAAAGTAAAAGCCAGAAAGTTGGAATATGATTATCCTAAGCCCTTTATGGTAAATTATAGGGTATCCTACCCTGAAACCATATTCCAACTTTCTGGAGTTCCCTGTAAGGTCTTGGGGATTAGGGTTTACAGGGTTTAGGGTTTAGGGCTTCAGACTACCAAAACCATCGAGATCCTAAAACCTGGACTTTCGCCTAAACCTTTAACCTTCTCCTAAAGCTTAAATCCTAAAACAAAAAAACCTTACCGCTACCGTGCTATCGCCACATCCGCTGCTTTCGACGCAAGGATCATCTCGGGAGTTTGGGGTTTAGGGCTTAGGACCCTGAGTGCTCCTGTTCCCTAATACCTAAACCCGAGGGGTCCAAAAGACCCAATAATTGGGTACTTAGGTTTCGGATAGTAGTTATGTAGGCTACTATTTGAAAAGGTATCTGATTATTGGTACTTGGAGAGTTGGGGAAACTCTACCGCCGTGCACTCTATCTACACCCTAAGCTCTGAAACATTGTAGACATGCTACACTCGGAGGTAAAACAAAGCGAAACCCTTAAGTTTTCCCCAACCCGAAGTCCTAATCTTCTACTCCAAGCCTGCAGCTCATGAAATACGCGTAGAACCCTTATGGAACCCTTGTAATGTACAGCCCGTATTCTGCAAAGAGTATAGAACGCTTATGGTACCCATACAGTTATAGAACCCTTCTAGAAAGAACTCTCTAGCATCCTTATGGCAGCCTTCTCCCCACTCCCCGAACCATAAACCCCTTTAGCATTCTTGGCGCACCTATCCCTTTAAATGAAATGCCACCTCTCTGTCAGCCTCCCAAGCTCTTCCGTCGTCGTACGCTTACGCTTTTTCGTCGCCTGGGACAGGGTTCAGACGAGCTTGGCGGGATTGGTAGGGACTGATCCTGTTGATGATATAACTCGAAACTATGGGTCTTACGGTATATTCCTGACTATCAACCGTAAGGATTTGTATAGGGGGTTGTAATAAACGTTTGTAGGGTAGAAGATTGAGAGGTTGTGCTTTGGAGCTTTAGGTTAAGTAAAGGCGTGGGGTTGAGGGCTTCAGTCACGGTTAATAGAATGCCTGGGGCTTCAAGGGCTTCGGGCCGAATATGTGCGCACTGTGTGCTCGTTTGGCACAGAAAATATGGCATTTCTGCTGCATCCTGTCCTACAAAGTCGTGGTTCTGCGGCAACCCGAAAACCCAAACAGACCCACAGAGAGCGGCCCAATATTGAGGATCCTACTTTGCAAAGGGTCTAGCCCGAGATAAGGGTGCCCTGCCCTGTTTGCTGCACAAAGCTGTCAAGCGATCTCGCGTCGAGGGATAGACCCGACAAGCTGCTCAATGACATGTTCTTTGTCAATCTGAAGAGCCACGAGTGCGCATGGGTCTAGTAGTAATATACCCCAAAACCCTACATAATTCCTCAAGGCTCATGATACTTATTGTTACTACACCCCGAAACTATCAAGATGATGGCACGGCAGGAGAGAGAGAGAGAGAGAGAGAGAGAGAGACAGAGAGAGAGAGAGAGAGAACGACTAGGGCCCCAATAGTAGCCGGGACTTTCGGTGCCCAGTGTCGCCAAACACGGCCGAACTTAGGGCTTGGGTGTCTAGGATTTGGGGTTTAGGTTGCAGTGCAGGCAGGTACAAGTCTGTGAAAAAGGGCGTAGGTTGCACTGCAGCGTACTTATGACAGGAACCCTCGGGAAGAGTATTATTCAGAGTACTGGTGAGAATAACTCGCTCTGGGCATCAAGGCCCTACGCCTCTTTTGGTGGTAAGCAGCATGTGCTAGTCAACCCCCCCAAATGTTTCAATGGATCTTTCCCAATTGCGTTAAATGCCTAAACGCCTAATATAGGGGACTTCATAACTGCCTATACTATTTTGGTGGCTCTTTACTATAGTTGTAGTATAGTGGGCCCCAAAACCCTATTCCAATTATTAAGGCCCCTATATTACACCCCTAAAGCCAAACAACCCTAAGACGGAACCTTAAGGAAAAATGTGTGTGTTAAGGCTTCTACAAAAGTAGAAGCCATTGGGGCCTTAAAAAAGTAGAACACTTATAATGAGCCTTAAGGACTGATATGTGTTAAGTCTTCTGCAAAAGTGGGCTCCCGGCCGCGCCAAGGCAGTCTTGCAGGACTCAAGGGATTGGCGGGTGCGTCGCCTGAGTGGGATTGGCACAGATGGGAGTTTCAGAAAATAAGGGAGCCGAATATAGCACCCCAAATAGTAGGATCCTTCTTCTAAGGAACTCAAAATATAGCACCCCAAATAGTAGGATCCTTCTTCTAAGGAACTCAAAATAGGCACGCCCTAATTTTCCGAAACTCCCAGATCATAGGTCTTCTTCGGGCACGGTAGGAGTTCAGGGTTTAGGGTTGAGGGCTTCGAGCATGGGCTCCTTTGAGTGTAGACTTCTGCCTAGGCTGCATAGTAAACCTCGTCCATTATATATATGTATATATATATATATGTATGTATATATACAACTACTATGGAGGCACGCTATGTTGAAGCCGGAAGCAAGAGCATTTTCTGGACCCAAAATCGCGCCCTCAAAACCACCAGCCTTGTGCGTGTAACGACACGTATTTGGTGGGACCTGGTGGGTCCGAGCTCTTCTCTACGGTGGGACCCAAATCGGGTTCCGTAGGACCCGGTGGGTCCCAGCTCTTCTCTACGTGGGACCCAAATCGGGTTCGGTGGGACGTGGTGGGACCCGGTGGGTCCAAGCCCTTCTCGACGTGGCCCCGTTTGGGTGTTACGACGCTAATTAGGGTGAGGGGAGGTGCCATGATTGTCATTTTCACTGCACTGTAGCATTGTAGTCCAGGTGCGCGTCCAGCCGGTGTGTGCAACCATTGAAAGGGAGCCGGGCACAACCAACGTCGACCGTTAAGCAGCTTTTTGTGAGGGTTTTCGGCCCAGTTTGCAGGCCCTGATTCCGGACACCAAGCCGGCTTCATGATAGACTGCCCTGAATGCAAACATATACATATATATATATATATATATATATATATATTATGTATATGTATATGTATATGTATATGTATATGTATATATATGTCTATGTATGTATGTATGTACGTATGTATATATATATGTATATATATATATATATATGACTCTTCACAGGGTTATTCAGGCAGGATTCGTAGTCGGGGATCTACGTTACTAACAATTTGCCGGTTCAAGGCACCACGAATGGACGGACTCTGGCCAACATTCCTGACGAGACCTGCATACCGATGTACACATAGCTCCATGAACCACGTCCTCAACGACCGAGTTGGCTACCATAGCCATCACAACAACTTAATGTGTTGCATGGTGACCTTTTTCACATGGCTTGGTGTTTATGAGCCACCATAATAAATAGCATGTATTAATACTGTCGCCGTGCCAATTGAGCCCGAAGGACTCTTGCCTGCGCAGCCTGTCCTGCCGGCGTTGTCAGTCAAATTTCTCTTGACTTAGGACAGGATAACTACCCTGCGAATCCATACACCTGTCGAAGAGATTCCGCCACTCTCTGAAGCTGAAAGGCAACTTTTGAGTTCATAACTTGTTCTAGAACCTAATCACTCGGACTGGCCGATTGCCATTTCACAAACAACAATGTCTTAATCTGTACACGGCTCTGTGTTATGACTTCAAGCAACTTACCCTTAACCCTAAATCCGTACATCCTGATCTTCGGCTCTCTGGGCAAAGCCCTTCAGCCGAGGGGCGTCTGCGCCTGCGCTATTTCGACCTCGCGCGCTGCCTGTCGCTGAAGCTTTCGGCTTCGGCTTTGGGTCTTTAGGGTTCAGACTCTGAAGGTTTACCCATAGGCTCCATAGTAGTTCCTTTTTGGGGCTCACATTTAGAATGCTATAAGGTAATCCCAAAAAGGAACCACTATGGAGCCTATGGGTGCGGCCGAAAGAGTTTAGGGTTTACGGGCAAGGCAACAGCGAGGACAACTGCCGCGACCACGACGAACCCTGCTGCTCGTACTTCGGCAGCTTCTCCTAGTCCTACTGACACTCGTCGGAAGGCGCGCGAGTGCTTGTGCTGAGGCCATAACAACTAAACCCCTACACCCTGAACAAGCCAGCGCCAAACTTCACAGCAACCCTTGATTCAATCCGTTTGGGACGCTCCACTGCGCCTCCGATGCGTCCTCTTGCGCCATCCTCGCCCCCCGGAGCAGGAAAACACGGTAATGCAGGGGCCTGAATAATTGGAATAGGGTTTGTGGGTATAGCAAACTATAACTGTAATAAGGAACCCCCAGAACCCTATTCTAATTACTAAGGCCCATACATTAGTTTTCGGTCGTAAGGTGCAAAGTTGGAGTGGGGTCGATGGGTAATGCCCCGAAGCCTCTGACCCCTGTACACCCTTCAACAACCTGTACATCCCTATTTAAAGGATCATGGGATTTAGTAACTAGGGTTATTATTGGGGTAACTATACTTATAATTACTTATATCCCCAGCTTAAGGTGCTTATACCAATAGTTGCTAAATGTTGCTAAGTCCCATGATGCTCCAAGTATGCATGAACCTTTGCCTCGGACACGCAGAAACCACATGAGGCCGGCACTGGTCCTTCAAACGCTAATCCCGGACAGCAGTACGTTTTGAATATTATGTCTACCTATGTGTATGTATGCATGCATGCATGCAGGTAGGTAGGTATGTAGGTGTATGTAGATATGTATGTAGATATGCATGCAGATATGTATGTAGATTTGTATGTAGATATGTGTGGATGCTTGGCTCCATATGTACTGAGAGAGTGAGGCGGTATAACACTCCAAAAGGTGAACCCTACTTAGAGGATCATGGGATTTAGTAAGTCTGGCTGCAAGAACCTTAGCAGGGGTTATAAGTAGTTGACTATAAATACTTTTTACCCATAGAATAACCTGAGTTACTAAGTCCATGATCCTTGAAATAGTCTGGAACCTCGAAGACCCTTAGTGTACTTATTCAGATTTCTACAAAGTCACTTGAGCCTTCAAGTACTTTGTAGATTCCTTATAGAACCCTTAAAGGGAATCCTATAGAACCCTAGAGTATCCTTCAATAGGAAGCCTTTAAGTACCCGGGCGGTCCTCTCTCCGGCTGCGATGTGTTGCAACAGCAACTCTCGCTTCTCGCTCTTCGCCAGTGGGAAATCCCAGGCGATGCCGGTCCCCACTGACCTTTTCAGGCAAGAATGGATCTCTCAAGGGTTGTATTCGGGCTCTGTATGGAGTTTCATACATAATGAAGCTTTACGGGTTCTATACTATGAGGAACTCGTGGTACCCGCATAGTCCCGCACAGCACGCTAAAACCCTGCACCCTGAAACCCTAAAACCCTCAACCCTAAATCCCTAAGACCAGTCCGCGTTATTCGTATAACCCAGAGAGGAATTCTTGACAGGAACCCGCAAACGAACACCAAAACTGAACCTTAAATCCTTGAAAGGAATCCTCAAACCCTCCTGGACCCCAAGGAACCCCCACAGGAACCTTTAAAACAAAAGCAACCTGACAAGGAACCCTTCAAGGAACCCTATTCCTACTTACTAAGGCACCCTTTTTAAATCCTTATAGTAGCCCTCCTAGGAGCCCTTTAAAGGAGCCGCAAAACCCCGAGAAAGGCGCCTGTCTGGCACGCTCAGCCTCATCATTGCAGGTCTCTGTTGGAGCCAGGACAAGAAAGCCACGGCGGCCTGGGGGTCTTTGTGGGTTCCCAGAGAGCCCGGTACCCCTTAAGTAAGGAATATGCCTAGGGTTCCTTTAAGGGGATCTATAGGGTTTAGGATTGAGGGGGTTCAAACACCCCTGAATTAAGGAATGTAGCTTAAATAATATGGGGCTTCATATTATGATTTAAGCTATATTCCTTAATTAAAGGGTATTTGGGCTCTCTGGGTTCCTTGAACCCTAGGGCTCTAAGGACTCATATACAGCGATCTATAAGAGTCCTTATAGGATCTGTAACAGGGTCTGTTGCCCTTTCTTTAGGGCTCTAAGGACTCATATAAGAGAGTTTAAGGGGGTTTGAAGCTTTAGGCTTTCGGGTTCGGTTTAGTTATAAGGACTCATAGATTAAGGCTTTTGGGCCATATTGATCGTTAGGGCAAGGGCTCCTTCCAGGGATTCTGTAAAGCACTGCTTTTAAATTTTAGGGGTCCTTTAAGAGAGTGGGTTCCTCTAAGGGCTCTTCGAAGGGATTCTTTAAAGCACTCCTTTTCGGGTCTCTTTAAGAAAGTGGGTTCCTTTATGGGATTCCTTGAAGAGATTCGTGAAAGCACTGCTTTCAGGGTTGGGGGTTTAGGGCACAGGGCTGAAGGTGGGTGTTAGGTGTTGGTCATGTCCTTGACTTGAAGTGTTGGGGTCATGGAAGTCCCGGGCCAAGGCGTTGGGTCATTTCGGCTGTCGGAGTGAGAACGGTTCAAGCTCGATTCCAAATCATTGCCACAGGCTGGAGTCGCTCGACAACCTTTCAAAACCCTGTCATCCGCCCGTCGAAACTGCCCTTGAAAGCCCCCTATAACAATAGAACACGAAGGACACCTGTTCAATACTCGTACAAACCACTTCAAACAGTTCATGCTGGAAGTACCCCACAGGGGGCTTCCTTACATACTTGTAAGTTCCAAGTTCGAAAACTACGTTACACCTAAACATTACAAATGTTACGACGAATGATACGGCATTCAAGCAAGATCTAAACCCTCTAACCTTAGAAGCTGACCCCACCCTGTAATTATGACTATAAGGATTAAATTAGGGCCCTATTACATTCCTATTATACCACTATTAAAGGGTGGGGGCAGCTTCTAACTCTAAACCCTCCCAGAAATGGACCGGCAAACCATCAACAACCTAGAAAAACCCGGGAAATACCGTCGTGTTCCAATAATAAAAACCGTGGGCATCAAACCTTCGTAACCTTAAAGCCCTCAACTCACAAACCCTCAAAACCCTAAACCCCTACTACGTAAACCCCTCAACCCCTAAACACCCTAACCCCCCAAAACCCTTAAGCCTCCAGACCGCCAAAAGCCCCAAAAGCCTGAGCCCTGCCCTAAACATCCAAAAACCCCTCAACCCGATTACAGATCCCTTTGAGGAACCATTATAGATCCCTTTCAGGAACCATTGCAAATCCCTTTAGGGAATCCTTATAGATCCCTTTAAAGGAACCCCTATCGATCCCTTTGAAGGAACGCTAAGCCCTAAACAGTTACTAGCTGCCAACAGTTTCGGCGCCTGCTCGCCATCTTCGGGCTCAACCTCATCGGCCTCCCGAGCCTTTGAAGTCACGGGGCGTGGCTTTGGGAGCTTCGGGTTCCTTTAAAGGGGATCTATAGGGGTTCCTTGAAAGGGATCTACACGGGTTCCTTTAAAGGGATCTACTAAAGGGATTCAAAATGATTCCTGTGGGGCTTGGCTTCGGGCTTTGGTAGTTTAGGGAGTTTAAGGAGTTTAGGGTTTAGGGAGCTTAAGGAGTTTAGGGGTTTAGGGCTGGGTAGGGTTTTGGGGTGTTGGGGTTTGGGGTTTAGGGATTCTTCGTTTCAAGACTCTAGGGTTAAGGTTTTCGAGTTTGGGGTTTTAAGGCTTTAGGGCTCTGGGTGCCGATGGAATTCTCAGGTTTTGTCTCAAGCTCAACTTCGCACCTCTCTCGGCGTCGACGGGGCGTAGGCAACCGGACCTCTGGCGTTGGGTCTCGGGGCTCCAATACTTAGAGGATGAGTAACTGGGGTTTTATTAAGGCAATTAACTTATACTTATAACAATCAAGGTACTTATAAACATACTTACTCATCGTCCAAGTATATTCTCAACCCTTCTAAGCACCGACCCTGAACCCTGCAGAAATCTATAGACACCTCCGACCCTTTTCAGCATGGGCTTGGATTATGTGCCAGCGAACATTCCTCCACAGCAGAGCCTGTTCGTTTGACAAGGGATGCAAATGTGGGAGTGTGGGAAACACAAGAACGAAACAGGCATCGACGATCTGCAGAACTATCTTCCCTACACCTTCAACCCTAAACCTTATACACCCTAAACCCTAAAAGCCTGAAGCCCTAAACGCCCTACACACGTGTTGCCTAAACACCTATTCCCTGCAGCGCTATCATGGAGCTTGCAGCCTAAATATAGACGGTCCTCGGCTCCGTTGCTGCCACAGCTTCTGAGAGAGTTTGGTGATTAGGGTTTTGGGGCTGTGGAGATTTAGGATGACTCAAGCTTGCCGTGGGTATCGCCGTAGAGCCCAGGGGACCCGAATAGGGACCCCCGAACAAAACGAAAATACATCGCAAACCACGGAAACAAAGCAGGAACTTAAATACAAGCCCCAAGCAGTATTTTTGCACATTACAGTGGTAACCTTGCGAGAAAGACCCGAAATAAGACACACCTCAATTTAAAAAACAACCAATTCTCCGCCCTTGTTGGTGAGTATTCCGAAAACCATGGTAGGGAGCTTTACGGCAAGGCACTGTAATAGAGGAACACTGTAGGGAACCACGCGAACTACTGTAGAAAGTAAGTTAATGTATGTACAACAAGGACCCTAAACAAGGGCTCCTCAATTAAGGACTGTTCCATCATGACTTTAGCAAGGACTCGATACTCCATGATTAAACTCGTAGTAAGGACCCTGAGAAAAGATCACGAGCACGAAAATTGTGTCGGAATCTGAATAAATGAACTACTTGTAAGTCTTCGAGTTTCAGACTGTCAATATGAGGAACCCTTTAAACCACTTTCCCCCCTTCGCCCTGCCGAAGCTTTGAGCAAACTACGGCCAACTCCCTCCAAAGAGCGCACAAGAAACCTTGGGGCTTACTTAAAGGATCATGGGACTTAGTAACTAGGGTTATTATCAAGGTAACTATACTTATAATTACGTATACCCCAATTAAGGGACTTATAACCATAGTTACTAAGTCCCATGATCCTCCAAGTAAGGCTCCTAAGAGGGTTAGGGGCTTTCTGGGCGAGGGTTTGAGCTTTGGGGGCGAAGGTTTGGGATCTCACTAGGAAGGTCTAGGACCCTAAACCCTAAACCCTAAAACCCTAAACCCTAAACCCTAAGTCTAGGAGCATTAGGGCTTAGGGTTCAGAGTCGATAACTCGCTACTCCGGCCCCTCACCATTTGGAGAAGCAATACCCCACAGAGTGGCGTCCGGCCCCGTATCATTGGAGTCCCTGAACTCTGCCACTCCAAGCTGCCTGGACTTCCGTCGGAATCATAATACTCTTCATCCTGAGCTTTTGGAGACTTTTCTACATTAGGGTCCCTTCTAGGGTTGTATTTTGGGGTGCAGAGAAGAGCAGACAAGATAATCTCTGCCGAGTGTTCGTGCCTGACGCCAAAGAAATTTGAAAGGTCGTATGGCTGGCCACCAGACGTCAAAACAGAGGCAACCGATGGGAGCCTGGCATCCGCAAAATAGGCAACCGAAATTTGATCGCAACCAAGCAAACACAAAAGCAGTCCACAAACCGTAACCCCTATGCCCCAAAACCGCATAAAACCTAGAACTCCCAGAACCCTGGAAAGCTTAGAGCTAAACTCCAAATCCCTGCTTCAACAGACACTAAATCCTAAATCTCTTGAGGCCTCTGACAGAGCCATTCGATCAACTCACACCTTTCAGGAACTCAGAACCCCACGCTCAAGCACCTTTTGCCTACCCATAGGCTCCATAGTAGTTCCTTTTTGGGATTACCTTATAGGATTCTAAATAGGAGCCCCAAAAAGGAACTACTATGGAGCCCCTAGGTAAACCCATAAATCCCTAAATGTTCTGCACGCCCAGGATCTGTGTCGTAGACAGAGCCGTCGCAACCTGGCAAGAGAGATAGGTCCGGTAAGGTTGGAGGCTTAGACTTTAAGGCTTGGGTAGACTTTATGGTTTAGACTGTCGGTTTGAGGGCGTATTTGGCTAGGGTTCTGGGTTTGCGGTCTGTGATTTAATTTAGGGTTTCTGATGACAGGGACCTTCCACGCAGAACAGGATCGAGCCATCTGCTATGAAAAGACCGGCGCCCAACTCGCAGAGTTCAGGTTTTTTGTGTTGTGAAATAGGACTTGTGACCCTCACCTGCGTCGCAAGGTTAGGACTAGGCTTGGTTGCCCGATGACGTGTCATGGTACAGCAGAATCAAGCCCGGCATCTCGCTAAGCTTCCCGCTCGAGCGCGCAGTGGCTGGGAGGTACACTGTCTCCATGCTGGCAATCCAGACCTCATGTATCATGAAGGCTTCCTGACATGAGTGGTGACTTCACTGTGAACACGGTAAATTGACCCGTGCCGTGAAGACTCGAGTCAGTTATCCGTGAAAAACTTTGGTTGTCCGAACCCGCGCCACAGGCGCGGCATTCCGATAGCTTTGTCCGTCTCACTGCCAAACCGTCCCAATGTGTTGATGTCCAAAGATCCGAGCTTGAAAAGGTGACGGGCTGAATATGGCAGCTCAATGCTCTCTCTCCCTCAGCGAACCACAACATGCGGAGGCTCAATATGATTTCGGCTCTGTTTCAGCAGAAGAACATGTGCTGATGCGATGGGGTGTGTCTGCTGTTTAGTTTGCTTTTGTGACCAAAGCTTTGATTCCAAGCTGCCGTGTCCGAAGGCTCCGATGCATCCTGCGATGTCAGACCTCGCAGTGTCATATTGGGGCCTTAATGACTAGAATAGGGTTTGGGTGCCCATCATAAGACTAGAATCATAATAAGGACCCCCCCCAAAATCCCTATATTGGAGCTTCCAAGTCGACCTGTGGGGTGCGCGCGCAAACACGGCTTGCACAGCGATGGACTCAAGACTGACTGACCTAAACCCTAAAGCCGACCTAGAGCCGACAAGACCTACCTTTTTTAGGGTTCCTTCAGATGGTTTCTGTATATAGTTCCTTACAAAGGTAGGTCTTTTCGGCTACAGGTAAACCCTAAACACTGTCTGCGATGCGTTCAATTTCAAGTCAACAGAAAAAGACTGCAATCCCGCACGTGCAGACAGCAACACTGCATTTTCCAAAAAATGATCCCTCTCCTTATCTCCCCTCCTGCACTAACTATACTCCAAAACAATTCTTAACATTCTTCTGCTTACTACTACTATTCTTGCTATTTCATGTTATTACTATTAGTGCCATTATTACTATTGGATCTTCATCCGGTTCATGCCAGGCCCGTCGCTCGAGGCTTGGCCAAATGTGCGCATTGGGCCTCTGAACCGCTTGCTGCTACCCGTAGCATTTCATTGCTTAAAGGATCATGGGACTTAGTAACTAGGGTTGTTATTGGGGTAACTATACTTAAAAGTACATATAACCCCAATTAAGGTACTTATAACTTATAACCATAGTTACTAAGTCCCATGATCCTCCAAGTATACTATCCTTATTGGAGTTCCCTAAGGATCCCTTGCCCCTTGAATCACACCCCCCCTTACTTGGAGGATCATGGGACTCAGTAAGTATGGTTATAAGTTCCTTCATTGGGGTTATAAGCGATTATAGGTATAGTTGCCTTAGTAATAACACTAGCTACTAAGTCCCGTGATCCTTCAAGCACCCCCCCCATAAGGACCCTATAATTTCAGCATGGCCCCACACCTTCGCGAAAGTCGTCTTCCTCATCCTCATCGTCGAAGTCTTCGTGCCTGTGCCGGGCCATGGCAGCAAGGCTCTCGTGGGACTTTAAGCCCCTTCCAGGGCGAAAGGTAAGCATCATCTACAAAACCGTCACGAGCAATTAGATGCCGTTGCAACCGGCAGAAAAAAAAACGTTGTAGATTCCCAACATCCTGACGTGGACGTCGGATTGCATGGTTGTCCTATTGTCTTCAGGACCGATGAGAGTCAACACGACGTCAGGTGGCGCGGCTGCCTGCTTCCGTCAATGCTCGGTCCCTAGCAGCACTTAACGGATCATGGGACTTAGTAACTAGGGTTATACTTAAGGTAACGATACTTGTAACTATGTATAATTAACCCCAATTAAGGTACTTATAACCATACTTAATAAGTCCCATGATCCTCCAAGCAAGTAGACTTCACCGTGCTAAACTTTGACCCTACTTGTCGGGTATCATGGGGAACTAAATGTTAACCTTTTTGGTTATATAGGGATTATATAGGGGCTATACTACCCAAAAAAGCTCAAAGGTTACTTACTCCACTGCTAGGTTGAGATGCACGTGCCAAAGCTCCGGCCAAACGATTTGCAGGCTCCTAGCTTCATCCCAAGCCCCCGAACCCTTGAACCCTCTAAACCCTTAAATCCTCGACACTCTGAACCCCTGAACCCTCTAAACCCTTAGGAACCCTAAACCCTAAACCCTTAAATCCTCGACACTCTGAACCCCTGAAGCCCCCTGAAGCCCTGCACCCCCGAAGGCCCGAACTTGAAGCCCGAACCATCCTGAACCCCCTCGAATCCTAGCTACTGTAGGAACCTGTAATTAAGAAATCTTGGGGGCCTTTATTAGGCTAGGGTTCCTTCTATGAATCCGACTATTTCGGTGTTATAGGCCTAGGGGTTTCTTCATCAGGTTCCTACATTAACCAATCATCCGGGGCCGCCCGAGAGCACACAGAGCCTCTCGTCCCAATCTGCATGACGCACCACAGGCACTGACAACTTTTCTCCCACCTTAGGTGAAGTTTAGGGTTTAGGGTTTGGGGGTTTTGGGGTGTAGAATTTAAGGGGTTAGGGTTAGGGACCTAGCCGCCCATCTACCAGGGTATAGAGGCCGTCGGGTTCGGGTGTTTGGGTGTAGGCCCTGTCGCCGGTTTGGGGCTTGCGCTTTCTTGTGTAACACCTGAGTAATATCGACACCATTCATGGGGATTCCTCCATAGATTCAGCGTAGAAGACCCCCTAAAATCTGGGTCAATCCGGCTCGACCCCTTCACGTTGACAGAGCTGATCGGTACACCGACAAACAAGATCACCAAGTTCCAAGACTAGACTTGACTGAAGTGGTGGCTTAAGCCTTCGGCTGTTAAGGGAACTCCAGAAAGTTGGAATATGGATTAATGGTAGGATCCCCTATAATTTGCCTTAAAAGGGTTACGATAATGATATTCCAACTTTCTGGCTTCTACTGTATGGCATACGGCTTACCAACAACAGGGCCTGAACACTCAGGGAATCTGATGTCCTCGGCTCAGCCCCTGAACCCAACCCTCAAAAACAGCCCAAAAGGTTGAACATCAAGACTCCGAATCTTCCCGAATCTGAATTGAAAAACCTGAATGTTAGGTACGGCCCCCATACAGTAAGAGTCTATAATAAGGCTACTATTAAGGTCCTACTATATCTGTATTATGAATAGTATTCGACTATTACTGAGTGGGGGCCGTACCCAACCTGAATGCTAAACCAACAAGAAGACACAACAACAAACAACCTCTAGCCAAGACCTGAAACACTGAACCTTTTTTGAAACCGGACTTGATGACTGCCAGCACTGCCTCTTCCGCTGCTCTTCAGAAACACTGAACCTAAACCCTAAAGCTTCAACCCTCAACCCTCAACCCTAAACCAAAACGACCCCGACGCCCTCTGAGAAAAAGCACCTTCCCGAAGTCGAAGTTCGGCGGCCTTAGGCGTTTAGGGGTTTTGGGTTTAGGGGTTTAGAGGCTTAGGGTTTAGGGTTTCGGGTTAGGGTTTAGTTAGGGTTTAGGGTTTGGGTTTAGGGTTTAGGGTTTAGGGGTTTAGGGGCTTAAGGGTTTAGGGGCTTAGGGCTGCCAGCTGCTTCTAATATAATAGGGGCCTTCCTTATACGACTGGGGTTCCTTTCAAGGGGTCTGTTTGCGCTACTATACGTAAGGGTTTTATGATACAGGGGCCTTCATAATTACAATAGGATTTTGGGGCCATTATACTCTACTTAGAATAAGGAACCACCACAATAGTGTTGCGCCCTTTTGTCGCCCGGGCCAGGTACTGTCTGTTCAAAGCTAGCACTCCGAAGACGGAAGCGAGCGACCAAAGGAAAATCAGGGCCGCTAGCCACCCCAGAGTCAGGGCGGGTCACCGAAGAGGGCGGGAAGACTTGAGCATAAGCCCGCGGCCCTCAACTTTCAAAGGTGCTACACAAATCTCTGTCAACAGCGCCAATGTTGCGCCCTTTTGTCGCCCGGGCCAGGTACTGTCTGTTCAAAGCTAGCACTCCGAAGACGGAAGCGAGCGACCAAAGGAAAATCAGGGCCGCTAGCCACCCAAACTTTTTCGTGCCGAAATGGTACCTGGCCGCAGGCCTAAGAAGATGTCCCAAAGTGTACGCCCATCGTCAGAAAACACAGCGTTAGCAAAACAAGAGGCAATGCGTTCGCAGGTGCCAGGCGGCAACCACTGAGCTGCAGGGCACTGGCCGTAATCGTGTGAGCAAGGCTGAAGAGCCGACCTCAGCGACAAGAAAGCCCACATCACACGAGTCCGCTTCTGTGAAGTGGCAACGCAGCTTGACTCGACTCCTGCATGTTGCAACAAATGCTGTATTGCTGGAGTGAGCCAGATTCGGGAAGAGTCAGCAGCAGCAAGGGCGACTGGGAGCTGCAGACGCATGCAGATGCGAAAGACTTTTGCACAGAAACGCAGCAAATTGTTGCCCTCATCGATTGTGTGCTGGTCCTTGCCGTTGAGACCACAGTTTCCAGACAGAGGCTGAGCAACATCACGAAGCCTACACCCTGCTGCCCACGAACTCTGAGGAACATTGATCCACACATATCGCACTCCGTGGGTGCGCAGCAGCGTGGCAATTTCCCGCTGCATGTGCTTATTCCGCAGATCAAACTGGGGACCATGCCGAGCATCGATCTCACAGCAAAGCAAGTTGCGACACTTACGGCGGAAGGCCTGACTGAGCAGGCCCCGGCCAGAGAAAAGCTCAAGCCCTGCCTCAGCTGTCACTGGCAGGCGCCGGAGGCACCGAAAGTCTTTTGGATCCCACGTTCCGCAATCTCGGCTTGAGAGCGCTGAGCTGCAGAGAGCTGTCCGTACACTTGGCTTAGCCGCCCGCCGTTGCTGTACCTGCGCACGCTTTTGAAGGTTTGCCACCGCCCCCGCTTCTGGACCTGCTCCAAGGTGCGGAACTCCTGCAGCACGTCGGTGGATGAGCTGCCGTGCCGGACTTGGTACACACAGTTGATGCCAACCTTGTCGTAACCGAGCTCGTTCACCACTGAAACGAACAGCCGACTCGCCTCGCTCATGTCGAAGGAGAAGACATGTTCCTCTGCTCGCTTGCTGGCATTCCCGGCGCAGATGCGTGGCAGCAGGCCCTGCAGATACGGGTGGTCGATGATTACGGCCTCGTCCGTCTCGCCAACCTTTGAGGGCCCAGGCTTGCCTCCGACCCCGCGAGTCCGCTTGAACTCTGGCAGACCCTCGCTGATCAGAGACCGTTCCTGATCCGTGACTGTTCAGAACCACCACCCAACTCCTGCAGAGCCGACTGGGTCTCACCAAGTGCTTCATGAGCAGGCGATGGCATTCGCCCGGGCGACTGCACGTGGCCCAAATCAGCAGTAGCCACCATCCCACTTCGGTATGTCCGGCGCCGATCAAGCTCACCACTATCATGCAAAGCATCGGCCAGGGAAGAGGGACCCTCCCCTGAGGCGGATCCAACTTTCGGAATCCAGCGAGCGCATCGCTGGCCCTGGTCAGCTTCTGCTCCTTGGCATCTTGCCTGAAGAACTTCACAGCGGCTAAGAGAGTCGTTCCGTCGGCCAAGTCGTGCCCGTCGAAAAACATCTCGTTGAGCCTCACTGTCACCGCCAGGTCTAAGGCCGTAACAGACGTCATGTCCTTGCGATTGCTCTTCGCCCACGATACAAGGCTGTTCCAGGCCAGCGAATACGATCTCTCCCTGGCAGATGTCACGCTTCGACGCTCCAAGAAAGTCTTTGTCGAGCTGGCATCCTTCACCAACCCCTCGCCATGCAGCCGTTTTCTCACACTGGCCCGGTGTACTTTGCGTCTTTGCACCGAGCCGAGGCTGCTCTGCTTGTTTGACTTCTTCACGGCTGGAGTCTCCGCGTCCTTGTTGGAGCCGGTAACTTTGCGCAGCTGACGCTCTCCAGGAACATGTGAGCTCCCCAGACTCGGCCTGCGCAGCATCCTCTTCAAGGATCTTGCAGACCCCAGCGGCCAGGTCAAAACTCTCTACACTTCGAGCCCTTGACGGTGGGTCGGCAGGATTCACTTCTGAAGGCACCCACCGGGGCACCAACTGTGCCCCCGTTGCAAACTCCAAAGCTGCCAACTGCCTGCAAATGCGGTTCATGCCCTTAGCACTCGACCTACCTTTGGCCATTGCAAGAGTGACGGTCATCGAATCCGTCAACACAAGATGTTTGCGATCATGATTTTTTCTGGACCTTGCAAGGTGCTGACCCAACCAGACAAGCACTCTGCCCTCCAGAGCAGCAATGGGCTCATCACGACTCCAAGGTGCAGAATCAACCTTCTGCCAACCCGTCCCGATGAAGTCCAAAGGCACCTCCCTCGAAAAACCAAGCGTCTCATGCTCAGCGCGGGGCATGGCCAAACTGAAGCTCCCATCGGTCTCGCCTTCACCCTCCTGCACAGAGTCGGGCATGCCAGCGATCAGCGACTCACTCTCGCGTGAAAAGCGCCATCGGTCACACACCCCTCCAATGACACGAACATCTGCAACTTCACGCTCGCCAGAGACGACGCCCCTGCCCCAGTGAGAAGCATCGGTGGCATGCACTTTTGTGCTCCAGGGTATAGACATGTCCTTGCGAATGAGGCACAACAATGACGACGCCCAGAAAAGCTCACGACGCACTTCTGGCCAAATCCAACACTGTGTTGTATACTGCTTTCTAATAAATGCATAAGTCGGTTGAAAAACGGATAGAAGTCCGCGACACAAAAGCCCAGCAAATGTGTAGTGACCCACCAACCGCTCTATGAGCCTCCCATCCGCGCGGCCTTCCCGGAGAAGCTCGTGTGTGGCGAGTCGTAGTCGCCAGAGCCGCTTTGCAGTCACCTTCACGACAGGCTCCGTTTCACTGAACTTCCACCCCAAAGTTTCAATCCCTCGCCCGGCTTCAACTTCATGTGTCGGCAGACCGCGCTCACGAAGTCGCTGTCCTACTTCGTTTGCCAGCTCAAACGCAAGACCCGGCCTCTGTGACAAAGCCACGAAGTTGTCCACGTACTCTGTGTGTACAAAGGGATCCATTCCTGGCGCAGGTTGCCTATCCACGAGTCTAGGGTTGAAAGCAATCCGGGGAATCTCGTCAACGATAATCTCGTGACATGACTGGCAAACCCAGAGCGCATGTGTCCATCCCATTGGCACCGCTTTAAGGACAGGAACAATGAGGTCATTCGGCTTGCATTTGCCCTCAATGGTGTGAGTCACGCCCACGTGCGAGGCCCTAACGGATGGTAGCCCAAAGTACCGACGCAATGCTGGAAGCAACTGGATGTTGTAGAATGCGTCTGCAATGTCAACACCCCCCACTTCGACAGGCTCCCCACTGTCCACCGCGAGCCTCGCAAAGGCGCTGCCCGTCGCCAGGTGGACTCTGTCGGGCTGGTCGAAGTGAAGATTTGCAGCACGGCAGTCGATGACAAGTCGCTGCCGCCCGCTCTTCTTCCAGACAGTGAATGCCCCAACTCGCTCAGTGCACTCACGTCGGTACTCAACAAGCCCTGACTCAGCAAGCTTCCTACAAAAACTCGCGTACACTCTGGGACATTGCTTCAACAATGGATCACTGTATGGACATCTCACACCTACCAGCCCTTTTCGGGCCACAACCTCACTCTCGGAAACTACTTTAGACATCAGCCGCTCAGAAATCTTCTCCGCCTTCCCTTCAAGAATCTTCTCCAGTGAAGCTGGTTCGGACCCTTTCGGAGGCAGCGACAGAAGTTCAAGCTGAAGCGGTGCCAAGCTAGCTGGTTCGCCAGAGTAGCCTGGGAGGGTCCGGAGCTCACTTAAGGCTCCCTGACCAGTGATGCCTTCCGGCGGCTTGCCGGCATCCAAAACTGCCGTCCGCAACCTATCAAGGCACAGACGTTGACTCAACGTGGCAGGTGTCCGGTCAGCAGCAAAACTGCCCGCGTACTCGACTCCGGCGTAAAGACTGTTCAAGGTCACCACCAGGTCGCGCACCCACTGGTTAACGTGTGCCTTTTCGCCGAGCCTTCTGCCCACACTCCTTGAAGAGCATGGGCAGTGGTCCTGCTTCGCTTCACCTGTTGGCAAAGGGAGAGGGAAAATTCCACGTTGCCTTCCACTTTGAGTCATGCGAAAAGAAAAGAAAGAGACTGTTCCCGGCACCCTCGTGCCAGATCCAGTTTGCAGGGTGTTGGGACGCTGTTGCCGGCGCCCCCCAAGCCAGGACTCCAGTAGTCCTGGCGGTTCCTCAGTGTCGTCACTTAGTGGCTGCAGCGCGCTCCTCACGCGCTTTACGCACTTGCTTCATCACTGCCGCCTCGGATTCGACCTCCTTGGCGACATACTCGAGCAAAGATGGAGCCACCATGACATCACCAAACTCCTTGTGGGCACCGGAGAAGATCGTGGCTTCGAATTGTGGCAAGGTTCCATCGTGATTCTTCTTCTCTCCTTTTCCTGATCCTTTACCTCCGCCGGGGCCCCGCTCGGAGTACATGTACTCAATCAACTGCAATCTCCTAAAGGCAACTTCGACCCCGGCGAGATTCGCCAGATCCAAGCCATCGTACCTCCCGAGCCTGTCCAAGATCTTCATGAGATTGTCGTGCTCAGCTACTCCCCAAGCATCGTGCTTCAGCGCATGGTTCTGGACCCACCATCGATGATGATCAGACGGCCCTCCATTCCGTCTGTTCAGGAATCGCACGCACCATGCACTTGTTCGGGGACCCGGCACAGCCCAGTCCTCGAGGCGCTCCTCTCGAATCTCTTTGCTCACATCGCGCCATTGCCGCTCTTCTCGCTGCACTCCCTGAAAGCTCAGGCCAAGAAGCCTTGCGTCGGAAGAGGCCTCTTTGCCCTTGTACTTTTCCACCTCCGTGCGCAGCATCCTTCGGATGGCAATGTGACCGCGTCCTTCAGCTTTCAGCCCCAAGTCGCCCTGCAAGACCTCGGAGCCATCGAGCTCGATGATTTCGCCTCGAGGTTGTTCCTCAGTGCTCTCTATCCGCACCCAGACCTGTCCTTCACTGACCGCCGCTCCTTGGGCAGGGGCGGCAGCGGCTGCCATCGCCGGCATCACCGCGGCGCGGTCCACCCGCTCTTCATCGGCGATGCGGGTGGCCTCAACTCGTAGTGCCGCCATGCGGCCCGCGCTGAAAGCTGGTAGCTCGTAAGCTTGAGAGCGCCGGATGCCGACTGGGAGTCCACCGCCCGCTCCGCGCATCCGAATCCCGAGCAGGTCCTCATTGGTTACAGACAGATCTTCAACATACACATCTTGATCGGGTGTGACTACTGAGTAGCTCTCCGCCGCCACGTGATCCAACACCCAGCGCTCATGCCAAAGTGCAGGTCCCGGTACATCGTAACGGACAAACACCCTTCGATCAAAGAGTGCCATGTTGTCTCAATCGTATCGAGGCCAGCTGTTGACGTGCAAGGGTTTGCTTGTCCTCGATGGATGGCTCAACTTCCCGATCCTCCTCCAAACGGCCGTGGTGTCGACAACAACCCCTCCAGCAGAGACCACTAACAGCCAGCACCAGCCAGTTAAGCACAACGCTAAAGAGAATCCAACCTCCCCACTGGGTTCCGTCAGACCACTCCTTTGACTTCTTGTGCTTCTTGTTGTCCTTTTTGCTGGGCTCGGTTTCCGCACAATCGATACACTGATCCAGGAGGCTTAGCTGACACTCACGAGCCGCCTTCAACGCGACTTCCTCTAAGACCTGATGGTTCTTGCTCTGCACGTTGCGCTCAAAGAGTCCTCCGCCCAAAAAGCCGCCTATCAAAGCAGAGCAGTGCCAAATCAAAGTTAGAGAGGCAGTCACCGCTCGTCCCATGGCATATGCCCCTGAAGACTTGAGCATAAGCCCGCGGCCCTCAACTTTCAAAGGTGCTACACAAATCTCTGTCAACAGCGCCAACGTCGGTAATCATCGGTTTCGGCTCGCACAAGGCACAAAGGCCTTAAAGCATGTCTGGGGTGACAGTGGATTGAACCGACCAGGTTTCTTTTGCCTCCGACGAATCGACCACGTTTCGGTTGGGGCGGTCAGGGTTTGGTGTTCTCCTCGCATGCACTTCGATTGACAAAAACGAGAGTAGCGCAGATACGGTTTTCTCTTAAGCTTTCGCTTTGTAAGGTCCCTTCTTCTGAAACTCCCGCAGTTGCTGGCTTCGCGCTTACGGCTTACGGCCTTTGCTCCGAACCATTAAAACTTTAGAATACCTACATGGGCATTTACCATGCTGAAGTCCTTCACTTCTGAAAGCGCCCAAGTACCTACGTACATTAAGATTCCATATTATATACTGTACTTTTTCGCCACTGGACTCAAGTCACTAAACCCAGGGAAGAAAGCCCAAGGGTGTCCCAAAGCCAGAGCCAAAGGCACTTAGGATTTAACTTTCGAGCTGGCGCTGGCGCAGCCAAACTAAAATCCTTAAATGGCACAGAAAACCACCGAAAGCCCTGCAGGCCTTAAAGCTCTGAATCCTAAACGAACCCCTTCTTACAAATGACTATCGTACCAACTCGAGAGGAGGTCCTTTTTTTGCAAAGCTTATGAAAACCTCCATTTAGGGTACTTATAACTCTACTTATAACCTACTTACTACGTCCCCTGCCCCTCCAAGTAGGCCGTAAACCCTAAATCCCATAGATCCCTTTAAGGAACCCCGTAGATCCCTTTAAGGTGCCGGGCCTTTTTTTGCATGGCTCATGAAAGCCCTCAGCTGGGCGGGCCGACTTGGAAGTCTTCGTAGCCCCACCACGCGTTGTTCGACGGGACCTGAAACTTTGCTTCTGTCATAACCTCCATATTAGGGGGTCTAGGGTTTAGGGGTTTAGGGGTTGCGGGATGAATTTCTGCCGGTGTCTTTTCTAAAAACATATACACGATTAGTCCTGCGTTCTGTTTCCGCTGTTTTTGAAGCTATGTGCCGTGCACACACAATATGGGGCTCGAGAGAAAGAGCACCGAGAAAGGCTGGCCGAAAGCACGAAGAGGTTGCCAGTCCGGTTCCCCACTGTGTCGCCTTAATGAGGGCTCTTTGAAAGGGATCTAGAAGGGCTCCTTTAAAGCATCCATAAGGGTTTCTTGAAAGGATCTACAAGGGCTCCTGGGGGGGGCTGGGGCTTTAGAATCTGTTTTTTTGCTTCGGGATTTCTCAAACAAGTTGGAACTTACTAGAACTTACAGACATGGCAGCCACAGGCTTTCTCCTAGGCAAAGCACAGTGGTGACGTTTGGAGATGGGCCACAAGATACCCTAAACTTTTAAACTCTAAACCTCACCCCTAAACCCGAAACCCTATCCCTCAACCCTAAACCCCTCAACCCTAAACCCTCAACCCACCCTAAACCCAAACCCTAAACCCCTCAACCCTAAACCCGAAAGCAGCTCCACAAGTCTAGAACGCAGGCGAAAGGGAAACGCGCGCAGAAGAACTGGAAGATCAGAGGCTTGAAATCGCCCTTTGTGTTCATCGCTTCTTTGCTTCGAAGTGGCGTGTGCGACTGTACTTGGAGGATCATGGGACTTAGTAACTAGAGTTATTATTAAGGTAACTATACTTATAGTTACTTATAACCCCAATTAGGGTACCAATGCTTCCTTATGAGGGTGGTTGTCAAAATTATGGTCCCTTTTTGGGCCCCTAATATAGTACGGCACCTATTATTTAGGGTGCCCAAAAAGGGACCATCATTTTGACAACTACCCATATAACTCAGGACGGCCGATTGTAGAGGGAGCTGGCTTCAGAGTCGATCTGCCCCTGTCTTGCTAAGCAAGAACCTGCTTTAAGTCATAGATCCCTTATAGTAACTCTAGGAGGGGCTGTGTTTTAGTACTGTTTTAGTTTGTAAACCCCTTATAGTAACTCTAGGAGAGGCTTTTAAAGCCTTTGAACAAATATTAGTAGGTAAGATCCTCTTAAGCCCAATAAGAGAGAATATAAACTGTCCCAAAGCCCTACCTAGAACCCGTATAGACCCCTTCAAGGGAAGCTGATGAAAAGCCCTTAATTCACTACACGAAAATTGGCAGATCCAGACTCAGAGCCCTAGTACGAACCAGGCTTGTCTTAATCAGGTTCCATCATTGCACAGGTAGGCGCGACTTCTTTGGGGCTGCCTTAAAGGGAAAACTCATGGACCTCGCCTGCATTCCGACTCCGGTGGCGGTGCCTGACCCAGGAGTTCGCGATACTCGGGACTATGGGACCCTACCAGCAACAGAAATCAACTGCTGGGAACCTTGCGATAAGCCCCCAAACAACGTACCCTGATCGTAACCTGAACCAAGATACCAGGAACCTTGTGAAGAGGACCCCACAATCACCAACCATAAACGAAGGTAGTCGCATCCTCCATACAGGAGTTTCCGAAGTTGGGAGACATAGTACCCTAAATAGTAGGATCCTTATTATAAAACACCCCAGAATACGGTACCCCTGATTTTCGAAAACTCCCAGACAAGGATCTCGAAGAAGGCACGGACCCCTTCTTTGAGAAACCTCCAAGTGCAGAGGACCCTCGGAAGGCAACTCTGCTGGTGATGCTTGTCTGCACGGGGGTTTGGGGTTTTAGAGTTGAAGTTAGAGATCATAGGGTCTGGGGGTTTAGGGTTTAGAGGGTTTTTTGTTTTAAAGTTAAAGTTAGAGATCATAGGGTCTGGTGGTTTAGGGTTTAGAGAGTTTTTTGTTTTAAAGTCAGAGTTAGAGATCATAGGGTCTGGGGGTTTAGGGTTTAGAGGGTTTTTTGTTTTAAAGTTAAAGTTAGAGATCATAGGGTCTGGGGGCTTAGGGTTTAGAGGGTTTTTTGGTTTAAAGTCAAAGTTAGAGATCATAGGGTCTGGGGGTTTAGGGTTTAGAGGGTTTTTTGTTTTAAAGTTAAAGTTAGAGATCATAGGGTCTGGGGGTTTAGGGTTTAGAGGGTTTTTTGTTTTAAAGTTAAAGTTACAGATCATAGGGTCTGGGGGTTTAGGGTTTAGAGTTAAGGAATGAGAAGTACAGTCCAAGACTTGCTAATGGTCAGTTGCTCCTGGAGCATCGATACCTGCCTCTACTTGGAGGGGCAGGGGACTTAGTAAGTAGGGTTATAAGTAGGGTTATCATTGGGATAATTCCATTTAGGGTAGTTATAACTCTACTTATGCCCTACTTGCTCAGTCCCCTGCCCCTCCAAGTAGGCCCTAAACCCTAAACCCCATAGATCCCTTTAAGGAACCCTATAGATCCCTTTAAGGAGCCCTTTAAGAGCCCTTACTAAGTCCCCTGCCCCTCCAAGTACGCTTGCCGTTCCCATCATTGCTTGCACAAGCCCTGGACGAGTCGAAGGCTCCAGAATGCAAGAGACTCGAAAGCGATATTCCCGCTATATGGGAGTTTCCGAAAATAGGGGACCCTGATATAGTACCCTAAATGGTAGGATCCTCATTATCAGGACCCCAAAATAAGGTACCCCCAATTTCGGAAACTCCCATATAGTTGCATTACATCTGATAATAAGATATGATATGGTACGACACATGATATGATAGCTTCTATTTTAAGCTGTAAGTCCACAAAGGACCGAAGACGACGTCCTCTGCAGCCCCCAAAACATGCCTCCCCTCGGTTGGCACGCGGGTTGTATCGCAGAGCATAGAGGGTAGCCTCCCAACAGGAGAGAGCTGGCAAGACCACAAACCCTGCCTTCCCCCGACACTCCAGAATTCTGGGTTCCTGGGTGGCTCCTGGATAAGGGCACCCTTTCCTAATATGCTGTCTGTTTTAATGGGGGAGCCCCAAAAAAAGGGGGCAAAAGTACTGCTCAGGAACCTAGGATTGCATCCCGGCCGACCTCTGCGAAGATCTTTAGACCGCATCGCTGCAGGCCTCCGAGGGGATGGTCCAAAGCGGCTCGAGACTCATTCAATGGTGTCGTCGTGCTGGGTTTAGGGCTAATGGGTTTAGGGCTCCCCGTTTTGGCCTAGACCCCTGGAAGGATCCAAAAAGTAGATCCCTTAATGGGGGGTTCCTATAAAATACCCTTAGTAGTATAGGGCCGCAAATTAGGTGATCTACTTTCTAGATTTTTTCCGGGGGTCTGGTGGGCTGGGGGCTTCAGTGTTTAAGGTTTTTTGAGGTAAGTTTGGCTTTTCGGACTCAGGTTCCGAAGGTAAATAGGACCCCGATGATGCTAGGATGCCGAATATACTCCAAGGGCTATTCCTTGGTCATGTCCACAATGATATCCCATACAGCACATAAGCAACACCCTATAGAACCCTTCTTCCTATTCCTTCCTCATAAATCTATTCTTAAACCACATTAACAACAGCCCCACAAGCCTGCATAAGATATATTGAGGCCGATCAGGGAACATTACGACTAACAACCCTAAACCCTAA